TGGAGGATGGAAGGTGGAGGATGGTAGGTGGAGGATGGTAGGTGGAGGATGGAACTGGAGGATGGAAGGTTGAGGATGGAAGATAGAGGATGGATAGGTGGAGGATGGAGGACAGAGGGTTGAGAATGGAGGTCGTAGAGTGGAGGATGATGGAAGATGGTGGAGGATGGAAGGAATAGTGTCGAGGATGGAAGATAGATGGTGAAGGATGGAGGACATAGGGTGGGGGATGATGGATAGATGGTGGAGGATGGAAGGAATAGTGTGGGAGGATGGAGGATAGAGGGTGGAGGTTGGAGGACATAGGGTGGAGGATGATGGATAGATGGGGGAGGATGGAAGGAATAGTGTGGAGGATGGAGGATAGAGGGTGGAGGATGGAGAACATAGGGTGTAGGATGGAGGATAAATGGTGAGGAGGAAGAAATAGGGTGGAGGATGGAAGATAGAGGGGGGAGGATGGAAGAAATAGGATGGAGGATGAAGGACAGAGGGTGGAGGATGGTGGATAGAGAGTGGAGGATGGAGGGCATAAGGTGGAGGGTGGAAGATGGTGAAGGATGGAGGGCATAAAGTGGAGGATGGAGGATAGGTGGAGGATTGAGGTTGGAAGATGGTGGATAGAGGATAGAGGGGTGGAGGATATATGGAGGATGGGGAGGTCTCTCACATACTACCATCATCCTAACAACTGTTATGATGTATTTGTGAGTAGAGGAAGTAGAAGGATGGAGGGAAGCAGGCTGCCTTGTTTGCAAGATATACAACATGGTTCTTCATGGTCAGTTTGGAGTCGAATTTCACCCCAAGGTGCCAACACCCTCCCATACATCCTTAGTAATGCCGGTGAAGTAGTAAGGATGAATGGGAGGGTTACCTGGAGGTTATTCCGAGGATCAACGCCCCCGCGGCCCGGTCCATGAACAGGCCTCCCGATGGATCAGGACCTGATCAACTAGGCTGTTGCTGCTGGCCGCACGCAGTCAAACGTACGAGCCACAGCCCGGCTGATCCGGCACTGACTTTAGATATCTGTCCAGCTCTCTCTTGAAGGCAGCCAGGGGCTTATTGGTAATTCCCCTTATGCTTGGTGGGAGGCTGTTGAACAGTCTTGGGCCCCGGACACTTACGGTGTTTTCCCTTAGTGTACCAATGGCGGCCCCTACTTTTTATTGGGGCATTTTGCATCGCCTGCCCAGTCTTTTACTTTCGTAGGGAGTGATTTCTATGTGCAGATTTGGGACCATTCCTTCCAAGATTTTCCAAGTGTAGATTATGATATATCTCTCCCTCCTGCGTTCCAACGAGTACAAGTCAAGTGCTTTCAAGCGTTCCCAGTAGTTAAGGTGCTTGACAGAACTTATACGTGCAGTAAAGGATCTCTGTACACTCTCTAGATCTGCGATTTCACCTGCTTTTGAATGGAGATGTTAATGTACAGCAGTATTCCAGCCTAGAGAGAACAAGTGATTTGAAAATGATCATCATGGGCTTGGCATCTCTCGTTTTGAAAGTTCTCATTATCCATCCTATCATTTTCTTTGCACGTGCGATCGTGGTACTGTTGTGATCCTTGAAAGTGAGATCCTCAGACATTACTACTCCCAGGTCCCTTACATTATTTTTCCGCTCTATTGTATGGCCGGAGTCAGCAGTATACTCTGTTCTAGTTATTATCTCCTCCAGTTTTCCATAATGGAGTAGTTGGAATTTGTCCTCATTGAACATCATATTGTTTACCGTTGCCCACTGGAAAACTTTGTTTATATCTTCTTGGAGGTTAACCGCGTCCTCAGCAGATGACAGCCTCATGCAGATCCTAGTATCATCCGCAAAGGATGATACGGTGCTGTGGTGTATATCTCTGTCTATGTCTGATATGAGGATAAGGAATAAGATGGGGGCGAGTACTGTGCCTTGTGGAATAGAGCTCTTCACTATGGCAGCCTCCGATTTAACTCTGTTGACCACTACTCTTTGTGTTCGATTTGTTAGGAAGTTGAAGATTCATCTCCCCACTTTCCCAGTTATTCCTTTAGCACGTATTTTATGGGCTATTACACCATGATCGCATTTGTCAAATGCTTTTGCAAAGTCTGTGTATATTACATCTGCATTCTGATTTTCTTCCAGTGCATCCAAGGCCCTGTCATAGTGATCCAGTAGTTGTGAGAGGCAGGAGCGACCTGCCCTGAACCCATGTTGCCCTGGATTGTGCAGATTTTGGGAATCCAGGTGATTTGAAATCCTGCTTCTTAGCACTCTTTCAAAGATTTTTTATGATGTGGGACGTCAGAGCTATTGGTCTATAGTTCTTAGCTAATGCTTTGCTCTCACCTTTATGGAGTGGGGCTATATCCGTTGTTTTAAGTGACTGTGGAATTTCACCCATGTCCAAGTTCCTCCTCCATAGTGTACTTAGGGCACGCGAGAGGGGTTTCTTGCAGTTCTTAATGAAAACAGAGTTCCACGAGTCTGGGCCCGGGGCTGAGTGCATGGGCATGTTGTCAATGGCTTTTTCGAAATCTATCGGATTTAGGGTAATGTCAGAAATCTGGCATACATTTATGGAGTTTTGAGGCTCATTCATGAAGAAATCATTTGGGTCGTCGATCCTCAGACCGATTAGTGGTTCACTAAACACAGAGTAGTACTGGGATTTCAATATTTCACTCATTTCCTTGTTGTCATCTGTGTAAGTTCCATCCTGTCTGAGTAAGGGCCCGATACTAGATGTGGTATTTGCCTTGTTTTTGGCATATGAAAAGAAATATTTTGAATTTCTTTCAATTTCACTAATAGCTTTAAGCTCCTCCTGCCTCTCCTGGTTCCTGTGAGAGTCATTTAACTTAAGTTCGATAGTTTCCACTTCCCTGGTCAGCGCCTCCTTTCGTGTATCAGATATTCTAGCACTCCTAAGGAGCTCAGTGACTCTTCGTCGTCTTCTGTAGAGGGAGCATCTTTCTCTCTCCAGTTTACTCCTGCTCTTCTTCTTTCTTAGGGGAATATGCCTAGAACATGCTTCGGCTGCCAGGAAGTTGATCCTTTCAAGGCACTGGTTTGGATCCATGTCATTTAAGACATCTTCCCAACATGTATCGTTTAGGACATGGTTTACCTGGTCCCAGTTGATGTTCTTGTTGTTGAAGTTGTATTTTGTGAAGACACCTTCACAGGTACATGCATTCTGCTTATCAGGACCCCTATGCATGTACATCTGGACTTCGATTAGGTTGTGATCGGAATTAGTTGTTTTTGATATTCTTATGTCTCTTATCAGGTCCTCATTATTTGTGAAGATAAAGTCAAGTGTGTTTTCTAGTCTTGTTGGCTCCACTATCTGCTGGCTTAAGGTGTGTTTTTCGCAGAGACTTAGTAGCTCATGTGTGTGTGACCTTTCATCTGCGCTACCTCCGGGGATTGTTTCAGCTATAACATTATTTGCTACATTCTTCCATTTTGTGTGCCTTAGGTTGAAATCACCAAGCAGTAAGATGTTTGGGGATGGAGCTGGAACGTTTACCAAACAGTAATCAATTTTCAGTAGCTGTTCCTTGAACTGTTGTGAGGTTGCATCTGGTGGCTTGTATACAACCACAATGACTAGGTTTTGGTTCTCGATCTCTATTGATAGAACTTCAACTACCTCATTTGTGGTGTTCAGCAACTCCGTGCAGATAAGGGACTCTTTGACATACAGGCCAACCCCCCCCTTGTTGCTTGTTTTTTCTGTCGCATCTAAAAAGGTTGTAACCACTTATCCATATTTCACTGTCAAAGTGATCTTTTGTGTGAGTCTCTGTGAAGGCTGCAAACATTGCATTAGACTCCTCTAGAAGACCACTGATAAAAGGTATTTTGTTGTTGGTGGATGGCTTAAGGCCCTGTATATTAGCAAATATGAACGAGGTTGTATTCTGTATTTGTTGGGGGGATTTTGTTATTGGCATCAGTAGTTGTAATTCTGGAGGGCCATGGGTGGCCACTGGCTGTGCCTCCAGTCCAACAAGGCTTCAAGGTGGTGGACTATTTTTTTTATTTCCTTCCATTTTCTTTTTCCGTTTCCTGCCACTAGAAAATCACCTGGAGTTGGGTTGTCGTAGCTACTATTGTTTGTCTTGTGGGGTCTATGCCTCCTGGTCCCTTTTAGGGTGTTGGCACCTGGGGAAGTTGATATCACACCTTGGGTATGCTCCACTTTCTTGGTTTGCCTGCTTCTCCTCTCATCTGCGACTGCTTGACAGAGTAGAGAACAGAGCAAGACGTCTCATCTCTCGCCTGGACCCATCCTGGATAGATCTGTCATTTCAGCAGAGCCTTCAACACAGGAGGGATGTGGGTGGCCTTACTGTTATGTACAAGGCCAATATTGTCAAAGTACCACACTTGGATCCACTTCGAGGACAGCGTGAAGCAAGCTTCTATACCACAAGACGGGCAGCCAGCAGCAACTTCACCTTGACTGTAACCTTCTCCAGAACATCACTTTATCTGAGATCATTTATCCCCAGGATGACTCGAGTATGGAACACATTCGTACAGCATAATGATGTCAACGAGATAACGCCAGTTGATCAAATGAAAATGCTGGCCCACAGATGGCCCTCAGCTAGCCCACAGATGGCCCTCAGCTGGCCCACAGATGGCTCCAACTTCATCCTGCTCCCTACTTATATGTCACATAACAATAAAAATGCTTTCAAATGAGCTGATGTAGGTAACAGCTCTTAGCTTGTCAATAAAGTCAGGAATCCTTAACCTGTAAATACCTTGTCAATAAAGCTAGGGATCCTTAACCTTGTCAAACCCTGTGTAAAAAAAAAAAGAGGGAAGGACGGAGGGAATAATGCAGGAGGAAGAAGCGAAAAGCTAAGAAAGCGAAGGAGAGGAGAAATAGCAACAATGAGAATCACCGTAAAGACGCCAGGAACCCCAGGACATACAATCACGACGGAGAAAATACCCCAGGGTATCCCAGGGATACACATAAATAGACTTACTTGCCACGATGGTTCTCCTTGTGTTGAGCCACCTGGTCACGGACAGCCTGCACGAAGTCAGTGTGACCAGCTATCTGAGAGGTAACAATGGACAGAGAATACCACTGATACCTCACAAGGATGGTCAGCATGGCCGCTGCTTGGTGGTGTACCGAAGGTGCTAGCTGGATCCTCAGCCCACTCTGTGCAGCCTGAGAGGGAGAGAGAGAGTGAGAGAGAGTGAGAGAGAGTGAGAGAGAGTGAGAGAGACTGAGAGAGAGAGTGTGAGACAACATGATTCATTATTCTGGACAAATTCATTAAATTTAATTACTAACATACTCCAAGACCTGTAATATATATTCGTTAATAGTAATAATAATAATAATAATAATAATAATAATAATAATAATAATAATAATAATAATAATAATAATAATAATAATAATAATAATAACAATAATAATAATAATAAATATAATAATAATAATAATAATAATAATAATAATAATAATAATAACAATAATAATAAAAATAAAAATTGCAAAAGCCAAACTTGCAAAGATCAATATTCCCTCTGTGTTAGTACAATATTCCCTCTGTGTTAGTACAATATTCCCTCTGTGTTAGTACAATATTCCCTCTGTGTTAGTACAATATTCCCTCTGTGTTAGTACAATATTCCCTCTGTGTTAGTACAATATTCCCTCTGTGTTAGTACAATATTCCCTCTGTGTTAGTACAATATTCCCTCTGTGTTAGTACAATATTCCCTCTGTGTTAGTACAATATTCCCTCTGTGTTAGTACAATATTCCCTCTGTGTTAGTACAATATTCCCTCTGTGTTAGTACAATATTCCAACTGTGTTAGTACAATATTCCCTCTGTGTTAGTACAATATTCCCCCTGTATTAGTACAATATTCCCCCTGTATTAGTACAATATTCCCTCTGTGTTAGTACAATATTCCCTCTGTGTTAGTACAATATTCCCTCTATGTTAGTACAATATTCCCCCTGTGTTAGTACAATATTCCCTCTGTGTTAGTACAATATTCCCTCTGTGTTAATACAATATTCCCTCTATGTTAGTACAATATTCCCCCTGTGTTAGTACAATATTCCCTCTGTGTTAGTACAATATTCCCTCTGTGTTAGTACAATATTCCCTCTATGTTAGTACAATATTCCCCCTGTGTTAGTACAATATTCCCTCTGTGTTAGTACAATATTCCAACTGTGTTAGTACAATATTCCCTCTATGTTAGTACAATATTCCCCCTGTGTTAGTACAATATTCCCTCTGTGTTAGTACAATATTCCCTCTGTGTTAGTACAATATTCCCTCTGTGTTAGTACAATATTCCCTCTATGTTAGTACAATATTCCCCCTGTGTTAGTACAATATTCCCTCTGTGTTAGTACAATATTCCAACTGTGTTAGTACAATATTCCCTCTATGTTAGTACAATATTCCTCCTGTGTTAGTACAATATTCCCTCTGTGTTAGTACAATATTCCCTCTGTGTTAGTACAATATTCCAACTGTGTTAGTACAATATTCCCTCTGTGTTAGTACAATATTCCCTCTGTGTTAGTACAATATTCCCTCTGTGTTAGTACAATATTCCCTCTGTGTTAGTATAATATTCCCTCTGTGTTAGTACAATATTCCCTCTGTGTTAGTACAATATTCCCTCTGTGTTAGTACAATATCCCCTGTGTTAGTACAATATTCCCTCTGTGTTAGTACAATATTCCCTCTGTGTTAGTACAATATTCCCTCTGTGTTAGTACAATATTCCCTCTGTGTTAGTACAATATTCCCTCTGTGTTAGTACAATATTCCCTCTGTGTTAGTACAATATTCCCTCTGTGTTAGTACAATATTCCCTCTGTGTTAGTACAATATTCCCTCTGTGTTAGTATAATATTCCCTCTGTGTTAGTACAATATTCCCTCTGTGTTAGTACAATATTCCCTCTATGTTAGTACAATATTCCCCCTGTGTTAGTACAATATTCCCTCTGTGTTAGTACAATATTCCAACTGTGTTAGTACAATATTCCCTCTATGTTAGTACAATATTCCCCCTGTGTTAGTACAATATTCCCTCTGTGTTAGTACAATATTCCCTCTGTGTTAGTACAATATTCCCTCTGTGTTAGTACAATATTCCCTCTGTGTTAGTACAATATTCCCTCTGTGTTAGTACAATATTCCCTCTGTGTTAGTATAATATTCCCTCTGTGTTAGTACAATATTCCCTCTGTGTTAGTACAATATTCCCTCTGTGTTAGTACAATATTCCCTCTATGTTAGTACAATATTCCCCCTGTGTTAGTACAATATTCCCTCTGTGTTAGTACAATATTCCCCCTGTGTTAGTACAATATTCCCTCTGTGTTAGTACAATATTCCCTCTGTGTTAGAGCAATATTACCCCCTGTGTTAGTACAATATTCCCTCTGTGTTAGTACAATATTCCCTCTGTGTTAGTACAATATTCCCCCTGTGTTAGTACAATATTCCCCCTGTGTTAGTACAATATTCCCTCTGTGTTAGAGCAATATTACCCCCTGTGTTAGTACAATATTCCCTCTGTGTTAGTACAATATTCCCTCTGTGTTAGAGCAATATTACCCCCTGTGTTAGTACAATATTCCCTCTGTGTTAGTACAATATTCCCTCTGTGTTAGAGCAATATTACCCCCTGTGTTAGTACAATATTACCCCTGTGTTAGTACAATATTCCCTCTGTGTTAGAGCAATATTACCCCCTGTGTTAGTACAATATTACCCCTGTGTTAGTACAATATTCCTTTTGTGTTAGAGCAATATTACCCCCTGTGTTAGTACAATATTACCCCTGTGTTAGTACAATATTCCCTCTGTGTTAGAGCAATATTACCCCTGTGTTAGTACAATATTCCTTCTGTGTTAGAATAATATTACCCCCTGTGTTAGTACAATATTACCCCTGTGTTAGTACAATATTCCCCCTGTGTTAGAGCAATATTCCCCTTGTGTTACTACAATATTCCCTCTGTGTTAGTGCAATATTCCCTCTGTGTTAGTACAATATTCCCTCTGTGTTAGTACAATATTCCCTCTGTGTTAGTACAATATTCCCTCTGTGTTAGTACAATATTACCCCTGTGTTAGTACATTATTACCCCTGTGTTAGTACAATATTCCCTCTGTGTTACTACAATATTCCCTCTGTGTTAGTACAATGTTCCCTCTGTGTTAGTACAATATTACCCCTGTGTTAGTACAATATTCCCCCTGTGTTAGTACAATATTCCCTCTGTGTTAGTACAATATTCCCCCTGTGTTAGTACAATATTCCCTCTGTGTTAGTGCAATATTCCCTCTGTGTTAGTACAATATTCCCTCTGTGTTAGTACAATATTCACCCTGTGTTAGTACAATATTCCCTCTGTGTTAGTACAATATTCCCCCTGTGTTAGTACAATATTCCCCTGTGTTAGTACAATATTCCCCCTGTGTTAGTACAATATTCCCCCTGTGTTAGAGCAATATTCCCCCTTGTGTTAGTACAATATTCCCCCTGTGTTTGAGCAATATTCCCCCTGTGTTAGTACAATATTCCCCCTTGTGTTAGTACAATATTCCCGCTGTGTTAGTACAATATTCCCCCTGTGTTAGTACAATATTTCCCCTGTGTTAGAGCAATATTCCCCCTGTGTTAGTACAATATTCCCCCTGTATTAGTACAATATTACCCCTGTGTTAGTACAATATTCCCCCTGTGTTAGAGCAATATTCCCCCTGTGTTAGTACAATATTTCTTCTGTGTTAGTACAATATTCCCCCAGTGTTAGTGCAACATTCCCCCTGTGTTAGTACAATATTCCCCCTGTGTTAGTACAATATTCCCCCTGTGTTAGTACAATATTACCCCTGTGTTAGTACAATATTCCCCCTGTGTTAGAGCAATATTCCCCTTGTGTTACTACAATATTCCCTCTGTGTTAGTACAATGTTCCCTCTGTGTTAGTACAATATTACCCCTGTGTTAGTACAATATTACCCCTGTGTTAGTACAATATTCCCTCTGTGTTACTACAATATTCCCTCTGTGTTAGAGCAATATTCCCCTTGTGTTACTACAATATTCCCCCTGTGTTAGAGCAATATTCCCCTTGTGTTACTACAATATTCCCTCTGTGTTAGTACAATGTTCCCTCTGTGTTAGTACAATATTACCCCTGTGTTAGTACAATATTCCCTTTGTGTTAGTACAATATTCCCTCTGTGTTAGTACAATATTCCCCCTGTGTTAGTACAATATTCCCTCTGTGTTAGTGCAATATTCCCTCTGTGTTAGTACAATATTCACCCTGTGTTAGTACAATATTCCCTCTGTGTTAGTACAATATTCCCCCTGTGTTGGTACAATATTTCCTCGGTGTTAGTACAATATTCCCCCTTGTGTTAGCACAATATTCCCTCTGTGTTAGTACAATATTCCCGCTGTGTTAGTACAATATTCCCCCTGTGTTAGTACAATATTCCCCCTGTGTTAGTACAATATTCCCCCTGTGTTAGTACAATATTCCCCCTGTGTTAGAGCAATATTCCCCCTTGTGTTAGTACAATATTCCCCCTGTGTTTGAGCAATATTCCCCCTGTGTTAGTACAATATTCCCCCTTGTGTTAGTACAATATTCCCGCTGTGTTAGTACAATATTCCCCCTGTGTTAGTACAATATTCCCCCTGTGTTAGAGCAATATTCCCCCTGTGTTAGTTACAATATTCCCCCTGTATTAGTACAATATTACCCTGTGTTAGTACAATATTCCCCCTGTGTTAGAGCAATATTCCCCCTGTGTTAGTACAATATTTCTTCTGTGTTAGTACAATATTCCCCCAGTGTTAGTGCAACATTCCCCCTGTGTTAGTACAATATTCCCCCTGTGTTAGTACAATATTTCCCCTGTGTTAGAGCAATATTCCCCCTGTGTTAGTACAATATTTCTTCTGTGTTAGCGCAATATTCCCCCTGTGTTAGAGCAACATTCCCCCTGTGTTAGTGCAATATTCCCCCTGTGTTAGAGCAATATTTCCCCTGTGTTAGTACAACATTCCCTCTGTGTTAGTACAATATTCCCCCTGTGTTAGTACAATATTCCCCCTGTGTTAGTACAATATTCCTCCTGTGTTAGAGCAATATTCCCCCTGTGTTAGTACCACATTTCTTCTGTGTTAGTACAATATTCCCCCTGTGTTAGTGCAACATTCCCCCTGTGTTAGTACAATATTCCCCCTGTGTTAGAGCAATATTTTCTCTTGTGTTAGTACAATATTCCCTCGTGTTTGTACAATATTCCCCCTGTATTAGTACAATATTCCCCCTGTGTTAGAGCAATATTCCCCCTGTGTTAGTACAATATTCCCCCTGTGTTAGCACAATATTCCTCCTGTGTTAGCACAATATTCCTCCTGTGTTAGTACAATATTCCCCCTGTGTTAGCACAATATTCCTCCTGTGTTAGCACAATATTCCCCCTGTGTTAGTACAATATTCCCCCTGTGTTAGCACAATATTCCCCCTGTGTTAGTACAATATTCCCCCTGTGTTAGTACAATATTCCCCCTGTATTAGTACAATATTCCCCCTGTGTTAGAGCAATATTCCCCCTGTGTTAGTACAATATTCCCCCTGTGTTAGCACAATATTCCTCCTGTGTTAGCACAATATTCCCCCTGTGTTAGTACAATATTCCCCCTGTGTTAGCACAATATTCCTCCTGTGTTAGCACAATATTCCTCCTGTGTTAGTACAATATTCCCCCTGTGTTAGTACAATATTTCCCATGTGTTAGTACAATATTCCCCCTGTGTTAGTACAATATTCCCTCTGTGTTAGTACAATATTCCCCTGTGTTAGTACAATATTCCCCCTGTGTTAGTACAATATTCCCCCTGTGTTAGTACAATATTCCCCCTGTGTTAGTACAATATTCCCCCTGTGTTAGTACAATATTTCCCCTGTGTTAGAGCAATATTCCCCCTGTGTTAGTACAATATTTCTTCTGTGTTAGTACAATATTCCCTCTGTGTTAGTACAATATTCCCCCTGTGTTAGTACAATATTCCCCCTGGGTTAGTACAATATTCCCCCTGTGTTAGTGCAACATTCCCCCTGTATTAGTACAATATTCCCCCTGTGTTAGTACAATATTCTCCCTGTGTTAGAGCAATATTCCCCCTGTGTTAGTACAATATTTCTTCTGTGTTAGTACAATATTCCCCCTGTGTTAGAGCAACATTCCCCCTGTGTTAGTACAATATTCCCCCTGTGTTAGAGCAATATTTCCCCTGTGTTAGTACAACATTCCCTCTGTGTTAGTACAATATTCCCCCTGTGTTAGAGCAATATTTCCCCTGTGTTAGTACAACATTTCCTCTGTGTTAGTACAATATTCCCCCTGTGTTAGTACAATATTCCCCTGTGTTAGAGCAATATTCCCCCTGTGTTAGTACAATATTTCTTCTGTGTTAGTACAATATTCCCCCTGTGTTAGTGCAACATTCCCCTGTGTTAGTACAATATTCCCCCTGTGTTAGAGCAATATTCTCTCTTGTGTTAGTACAATATTCCCTCGTGTTAGTACAATATTCCCCCTGTGTTAGCACAATATTCCCCCTGTGTTAGTACAATATTCCCCCTGTGTTAACACAATATCCCTTCTGTGTTAGAGCAATATTCCCCATGTATTAGTACAATATTCCCCCTGTGTTAGAGCAATATTCCCCCTGTGTTAGCACAATATTCCCCCTGTGTTAGTACAATATTCCCCCTGTGTTAGTACAATATTCCCCCTGTGTTAGCTCAATATTCCCCCTGTGGTAGAAGAGAGTATATTCCGCGTTTTAGCCTCCCTCAGCAGATGGATATCGAAAATCTATATCGAAGTTTAGGTCGTCTTCGGCGATATTTAGGTCGTCCGTGATGTTTAGGTCGTCTGCAACAATGTTTAGGATGTATATAGTTATGTTTATGTTGTCTGTAGTGATGTTTAGGCAGCCAAGCAGACAGACTGACAGGCAGTAAAGCAGACAGATTGACAGGCAACTAAGCAGACTGACAGGCAGCCAAGCAGACAGACTAGCAGTCAGCCACACAGACAGATAAACAGTCAAGGAGACAAATTAACAGACAGTCAAGCAGACATATTAACAGAAAGATTAACAGACAGCCAAGCAGAGATTAAGAGACAGTCAAGCAAAGAGATTAACAGACAGATTAGCAGACTGTCAAGCAGACAGAGGAACAGTGACACACATATACTAACACACACACATACACACTAACACATGGATCGACCCCTGCAACCACAATTAGGTGAGTACACACTCGTACTGGTTCTAGTTGCCCCTCTCTCTCTCTATCTATCTATATATCTATCTATCTATCTGGTTTGAACCAAGAGAAGAAAAAGAAGAAGATTATGATGAACAAGGCCAGGATGAATGCGAAAGAAGAAGAAAGAATACACGTATTAGAGTAACTCTCACCTGTTCCAGGCCGGAATTATCAGCGTTCCAGGCGATGACTGGTATTCCCAGGTAGCCAGCCAGCTGCAGGAAGTACTGGGCGGAGGCTGTGGTCCGTCCGTATGTCTCAGTCCTCGTCAGGAAGATGATGGCTGACACGTTCCTGGGCAGGAACCTCTCACACAGGCAGTCCAGGATAGCTGTCAGCAGGTTAGGGGAGAGTTAGAGACGGTCTCTGGTTGTTAGTGCTAGCTAGGGGAGGTTGTTAGTGCTAGCTAAGGGAGGTTGTTAGTGCTAGCTAGGGGAGGTTAGTGCTAGCTAGGGGAGGTTGTTAGTGCTAGCTAGAGGGTTGTATGTGGTCCCAATGGAGTTAGTAGAGTTAGTCACGGGTTGTTATTGCTAGCTAGAGTTGTTTGTACTAGCTACGGGTGGTTGCTAGTGCTAGCTAGATAGCTTGTTGTTAGTGCTAGCTGCATTATCCACCCTACCACATGCCTTTTCTAAATCCACAAATGCACCATAAAGTTCCTTACCTTTAAGTACTGTTCACTTATATTTTTCACTGTAAACACTGGTCTACACTCCCCCTAACCTTCCTAAAGCCTCCTTGTTCATCTGCATTCCTGCTCTCCGTCTTACGCTTTACCTGATATATTCAACAGACTTATTCCCATATAATTTTTACACACTCTTTCATCCCTGTTCCCCTTAAAGAGTGGAACTATGAGTGGTATCTGCCCGTCCCTAGGTACCCTGCCCCTCCCACGTATATTTTCAGGTCCAGTACCTACTATTTTGGTTGCTATGGTTGCTGTTGATTTTAGCACCTTGGTTTAGAGAAAAGGTAATAGGAACTTCTCTGAGAGATGATGAGAGACAAGGATGTCTCTGAGAGATGATGAGAGACAAGGATGTCTCTGAGAGATGATGAGAGACAAGGATGTCTCCGAAAAAGAGGATAAAAATTTAAAATACCTGAGAGATGAGAAGAGATATAAGGAGTCTCCGAGAGAAAAAGACACAAGGATATTTTTAGAGATGGGGAAGCTTTCAGGGGTGTTTCACGCTAAAGACTTGCACATTTTTGAGACAGTAATGATGTGAGAGAGAGAGAGGGTGGGTAGTTATGAAAGTGAGGGGGAGAGTGGTGGGTGAGGATGAAGAGGGAGGAGGGTGGGGGGGGGGTGGGAGGTGTGGGTGGGTGAAAAGAGGGGGGGGGTGGGTGGTGTGGGTGGGGGGGGGGGGGGTATGAAGTGAGGGGGGGAGTGGGGGGGGGTGGGTGGGGGGGTTGGGGGGTGGTGTGGTGGGGGGGGGTGGGGGAAGTGTGGGTGAGGGGGTGGGGGTGGGGTGAAGAGTGAGGGAGAGTGGGGGGGTGGGAGGGGGAGGGGGGAGGGGGGGGTGAGGGGGTGAGGGGGGGGAGTGGTGGGGGTGGGAGTGGGGGGGAGGGTTGGGGGGGTGAGGGGGGGGGGGTGGTGGGTGTGTGGGGGTGGGGGGGTGGGGGGGTGAGTGTGGGGGGGGGAGAGAGTGGTGGGGGGAGTGTGGGGAAGGGGGGAGGGGGGTGAGTGGGGGGGGAGGGAAAAGGTTGGTGAGTGTGGGGGAGGGGGGGTGGGGGAGTGATGGGAGGGAAAGGGGAGAGGGGTGGGGGAGGGAAAAGGTGGGGGAGAAGAGGTGGGGGGGTGTAGGGGAGGGGGGTGAGGGTGGTTTTGGGGGGGGGGGTGGGGGGGAGGTGGAGTGGGGGGTGGTGGGTGGGGTGGGAGGGGAAGAGTGGTGGGTGGTGAGAAGAGTGGGGGAGGTGGGGGGGGGGTGATGGAGAAGAGGGAGAGTGGGGGGTGATGATGAAAAGGAGGGAAAAGTGGGGGGGTGTGGAGAGGAGGGAGGAGTGGTGGGGGGGTGATGGGAGTGGGGAAGGTGGTGGGTGGTGATGAAGAGTGAGGGAGAGGTGGTGGGTGGTGTGGAGAGAGGGGGGAGAGGGGGGGTGAGTGTGGAGAAGGGGGGAAAAGAGTGGGGGTGAGTGTGGAGAGAGAGGAGAGAGTGGGGGGTGGTGTGAAAATGGGGAGGAGGGTGGGTGAGTGATGAAAGAGGAGGAGAGGTGGGGTGAGTGATGGGGAGAGAGGGAGAGGTTGGGGGGGAGGTGAAGGGGAAAAGAGGGGCGGTGAGTGTGGAGAGAGAGGGAGAGGTGGTGGGTAGTGATGGGGGTGAGGGGAAGTGGTGGGTGAGTGATGAAAGAGTGGGGGAGTGGGTGGTTTGTAGTATGGGGAAAAGGGGGGGGAGGTGGGGTGGGGAGTGTGGGGAAGGGGTGAGGGGAAGGGGGGGTGAGGGGAGAGGAGGGAGAGAGTGGTGGGTGAGGATGGAGGAGGGAGGAGGGAGGGGTGGGGGGAGTGATGAGGGGGGAGGAGAAGTGGTGGTGAGGTTGGGGAAAAGGGGAGAATGGTGGGGGGGTGATGGAGAGTGGGGAAGAGTGGTGGGGAGGGGGGGAGGAGGGAGAGAGTGGTTGGTGGGAAGAAGAGGGAGGGAGAGTGGGGGGAGGATTGAAAAGGGAGGGGAGGTTGGTGGGGGGGTGAGGGGGGGGAGGGAGAGAGTGGGGGGAGGTGGAGGGAGGAGAATTTTGGGGTTGGGGTTAGGGGGGAGGAAATGGTGGGTGAGGGGGATGGGAGAGAGGGGAGAGAGGGGGGGGGTGGAGGAGGGAGAAAGGGGGGGCCCGAGGGCCCCCGTGGGGGGGGGAGGGGGAGATTGGGGGCCCCGAAAGACAAAGGTTTGGAGTGAGTTTGGGGGAGGGGGGTTTCCCCCGGGAAAAGGGGGGTGGGGGGATTTTAAAATAAAACAAACCCCATAGGGAGTAAAGGTGGGGTAAGAATTAACCAGGGTGGGTATGGGAATAAAGGGGTTTTAGGATTTATAAAGTTTTTATGGGGGTTGAAAAGGTTTTGAGGAATGAGGGGGGGGTGGTTATTTTTAAAAAATTTATTATAAAGATAAAATTTTTTATATTAATTTAAAAAATTTAAATTTAAGTAAAATTTTTTTTTAGTATGAAAATTAAAATGGGGTTATTTTAAAGAATTTATTAATGAAAATTTTTTCCCCAGGGAATGGGGGGGAAAGTGGGGGGTTAGTATAAAAAATTTTTTTAAAATTTAAAATTTTATTGGGGGGGGAGGGATAAATTTTATTTTGGGGAAGGAAAGTTTAGTTTTGGGGAAAGGGGGGAAAATTGGGGGGATAAAAAAGAATTTATATAAAAAAATTTTGGGGGATGATGGGGGGAAAATTTGAATATAAATTTAAAAGGGGGGTTTGAATAAAAAATTTTGGTTATAAAATGGGGAAATTTTTTTATAGAAAAAAAGTTTTTAGTATGGGGGGGGGAGGGAATTTTATTTAAAATTTAATAATTTTTATTTAGGGTAATGGGGAAAGGGGGGGGGTTTTTTATAAATAAAATTTTGGGGGATATTAATAAAATTTTTTAGAGGAGGGAAATTTTAATATAATTTTTTAATTTTTTATTAGGTAAAATTTTTATTTAAAAATAAAATTTTTATATAGATAAAATTTATTTGGAAAAGGGGGGGGGTTGTGGGTAGTGGAAAGGGGAAATTTTGGTTTTGGGGGGGGGAATTTTAGGGATAGGGGGGGAAATTTTTCCCCTTATTTAAATAAATTTTTTATAAATAAATTTTTTTTTAGAATTTAAAATTTGGGGATATAGGGAAAAAATTTTGGGGATATAATAAGGGGGGTTTTTATTAAAATTAAATTTTATTAATAAGATTTTTTGGAAGAAAAAATGGTTTTAATAAATTTTAAATTTGGGGGGGTATATAAGATAATAATGGTTATATTTTTAAATTTTTTGGAGAAGGGAAGGTTTTGGTATAATAAAGGGTTTTTTTTAAAAAAAATTAATATTTTATAGGGAAATTGGGGTTTTTATAAAAAGGGGATGGTTTGGGGGGATATAAAAAGGTTTTTGGGGATATTAAAATTTGGGGTTATATAAAATGGGGGGGGTCGTTGGGGGATTGGGGGGGTGGGGGAGTAGAGTTTATTTTTATAAAAGGGGGGGTTTTATTTATAAAAAAAAATTTATTGGGGGGAAAATTTTAAAAAGGGGATTTTATATAAATAAAATTCTTTTGGGGGGGGGGGGGGGTTTTATTTAAAAAATTTTTTTTTATATAATAAAATTGGGGGGTTTAAAATTATTATAATCCCTTTGGTTTTAAAAATTTTTTTTTTATAAAGGGGGGGAAAAGGGGGGGGTTATTTAAATAAAATTTTATAAAAAATGGGGGTTATTAAATAAGGATTTTATTAAAAAAGATGGTGGGTTTTTAAAGTAAAGGGGGTTCCCTATTGGGGGAAAAATTGGGTTTTGGAATAAATTTATTAAAAAATTTATATAAATAAAAATTTTTTATATAAAAATTTTTTTTTTGGGGGTAAAATTTTTATTTTTATTTTTAAAAAAAAATTTTTTGAGTATAAATATAGTTTTTTATAAGGGGGAGGGGGAAATTTTGTTTTTAAAAATTTATTGGGGATAAAAATGGTTATTAAAAAATTTTATAAATTTAAAATTTAGTATAAAAAATTTATTATAAATTTAAAAAATTTTTCCCCTTTATTAATAAATTTTTTTTTTTGGTTTTTTTTTTGGGGGGGGGGGGTTTTTTTCCCCCCCCCCCCCCTTTTTTTTAAAAAAAAAAAAAAGGGTTCAAAACCCCGGGGGGGAATTTCCCTTACTTTTTTAAAACCAAAAAACCCCCCCCTTCCCAGGGGCACGGGGGCGCCCCCCCCCCCGCGGGTGCAATTGTACTCCCCCCCCGGGGGGCGGCCGATCCAACACAAACGAAAAGTGCAAAACGCACTACACCCAAGGGGCACACCGTAAATTTACCCCCCAGAACCCTCCCAAAACCCCCCATCTAGAATTTTAAACCCGGTGACTGGTATGGAAACATTTTTACGCATTAGATGTCACGAATAAAATCGGTGATCAGATGAAAAGCTGGCCCAAGTTTGGGCCCCCAGCTGGGCCCCCAGATGGGGCCAATCAGCGGCCCCCCAGTGGCTCCAACTTTATCCTGTTCGCTCTTTTAGTTAATAAAATAAAAATGCTTTTTAAATAGCTTTATGTTGGTAACAGCTTTGCTTCCCAAAAAAAGAGGGATCCCAACCTTGTAAGCTGAGA